TTTTTTATTTGATATCAATAGTTTTGTAAGTGCTATTTTCCAAGTTAAAGATTCAAGACCCATGGATTTCAATATTTTTCAAATACAATGAAAATATGGATTTTTAGGTTATTTTTGGATCAAAATGATATAAATTTTGGATCATAATGAGGAACAGAGGTTTTAGCAGTGGTGTGTGGTATGCACATTTTTTTTATCTTTGACTTGGGGCTAAAATTGATGAATTTTTAAAAAGAACCTATGCAGTCTTTTTCGAGAAAGTGACCGTTATGTGTCCGGCCAGACGGTCAAATTTTGATTTTTGACCGATTTGGCCACCTGAACTTGAAATTTTTAAGTCGCAATTGGCACTATTCGATAGCTTACCTTAAGACCTTTCCAACGAATATGCATATGCCTTGCGTAAGTCAAGTATAGGTGCCACAGCGATTGTTTGAAAAAATGGCCATTTTTTGCCATTTTTGCACTATCGAAGGCCATATCTTGAAAACAAGAATTTTCTGGGATATGAGCTATGCGGCATATTATAGCTTAGACTTGGGCCTAAAATCGGTGAAATTTTCAAAAAAATCCTTGAGCTTGTTTTCGAGGTAATGGACGTTATGTGTCCGGCCGAACGGTACATTTTTGGTTTTTGGCCAATTTAGCCACTCCACATTGAAATTTTTGGACCGCAAATGACTCCATTCGATAGCTCACTTCAAGACCTTTCCAATGATATGCATATGTCTGGGGGGTGTCAAGTCATGGCGCTTCGGTGACCATAGGGAAAAAAGTCGAAAAGTTACTTTTGGAGGCCGGCCACGGCCAACATGGCGGCCAAATCGAAAAGTGCCGGAACAAAAAAGTCTTAGTTTTTTGTGTACTTTAATCACAGAAAGTTTCAAAGAGATCAGAATCGAGTACGCAAAATCGCGCACAGACAGACAGACATTTTGATTTTTCATAGAGATTCATATGAAATTTTTAAAACGCTGAAGTTTTCGAAAAGTGTCATCGATTTTGACGGTTAGGGGGTCGTTGGAAAGGTATTGAGCTCTAGAATCCGAATATCGATGTTTTAGAGGTCAATGACCTTATTTAGTGCCATATATGGCCGTAGAACTGAATTTTGACCCTTTTCTTGAAAGGACCGTATTTTGAAGACGGGTGGACAGATTTTCAAACTTTGACATTTTTTCTTGATCTATGGCCCTAGGGCTTTCCAACCATACATCAACCGGGGCCAACGGCCTTCTAGGTCTGGATTTCGTAAATTACGTGTATATATAGCGAGTTCGACTTTTCAACACACTAATGTGGTTTCGTCACTCGCGCGAACTGCCGTCCGCTGTGATTTTAAAATGAATGAATACAACGAAAAGAAATTATTGCGTCCAGATAGTATAAATTAAACATGTAAAACGTGTCAAAATTCAAGAAATGAACTGAAGTATTTAAATATTTCGATTTACCTCGAAATGAATTCACTTGAATGCAATTTATTTTATATACTTTTGTCGCAAAACCAATGTGGGTTAAATTTTATGTTTTTGATTGAAATGACAAATTAATCATGGATGTAATCATTTAGTAGAGAATGTTACACTTTGTAAAGATTGAATGTATTCCAATGAAGATTTTCATTGAATATGCGAAATTCTATATTATCTAACTTAAAGGTATTGATTCAACATGCATGGTTAATACGTGGAGGTATTATTATACGTGTCCTTTGATCTTATAACATATATATGAATATTCATATGTAATCAGTTCATCATTTTTTAATCATATTCGCTTGAGTTTCGAATATAAATTAAACACTTTCACAAATTGATCAAATAACTCGATAGAAACCAAATCAAAAAAAGCGGAAGAAAGTGCTTCAACCTATTCAAAAAAAAAAATTAAGTATAGATCTAATGATGACCAATTTCGGCCCCAGGTGCAAGCACATTCACATGGAAGTCTTTTAATTTTACGGTCAAGTAGTCATAAAATTTTATTTTCATTTTTCATCTAAAACATTTTTGTCACTTCTGTTTTCATTGTTCCGAAATTATTTTCAGTTGTTTAATAACAATAATTGTGAGAAAAATCATCATTAAGAGAAATTAAATAAGTCTAAATATCCATTCAATTCATGAGGTTGCGAGAAAAGATTGTATCTTTTACACTTAGTCTGGTAAAATTCCCACTGTGACATTAGATTGCTTCTTCAATAAAATAAGATAAAGAATGCACAGCTAGGTGTATCTTTTACATTTCACTTCGAATAATTTCCATTTTACAATTGCGATCATGAACATGAAAAATAAACTGCAAAAATTGATTTCTACTTACAGCTAAAAGTATTCTGCTCATCTTGGTAAGAGGTGATATTTGTGATCGCTAAATTAAATCCGACCGGCTTGAATTAATTCCTTTGATTCGTGCATTCAATTATTTTCATTCAAATAATCCGTTGCAAACATGTGTCAAATGAACTGCAAAAAATAGAAAATAAATGAAAATTATACATTTTACTTTTTAAAAAAATGCTAAAGTTTTGTTGTTGTGTGTGAGGTTTGAGTTGAAATAAAATATAAGCATAATTTAAAATTCGACAAAAGTGTGTCACCACAAAATGCGCTTTGTGTCTCTGGTAAATCGAAGTAAATATAAAAAAATGCAAAACATGACGACAACGGAGAAAGAAAAGAAGATAAAAAACGATCTTGGCTCCACATTCGAAACACACTCCAAAGTATGAAGAGAGAAAAGAAATCGAAACGAAACATATTAACATTTTGATTATATTTTCGTTTACAATACTATTCGTAATTTGTTGTTCTGGATATGAGAAGAATGAATAATATTTGAATCTTCATCTCTTTCTATTTCTCATTGTTGTGAACTATAAAAATATTTAGCATGATCGAGATCGTCAATTTTATATTTATGGATTCGTTGGTATTGTGGCCAAACTTACCCATAAATGTTTGAAATCAATGTATTCATTTACACAATGACCTTATTTTAGAATACGATTTGATAAAAGGCAAATACGGTAAAATGTGTCGCTATTTCACTGCCAATAAGCATAAGTATTATTAAACTTTGTTTGACCACTTTCTACTTTTGCATGCTTATGTATTCAAAAGAAATTTGCTGTCGACATACTCTTAAGATCAGATGAAAATAAAAAACTTTAGAGTAATTAGATAATGCACTTCAATCAAATTGAGATGTCATTTATCAAAGTATAGTTTTTGTTACTAAAATGGATTCAGTTCACTTAAGACCATTCATAAGACCAACACAACATATTAATATGAATAATTGATATCTTCTACATTACACATAGTTTGAGTTTAAAAAATTGTTTGAAATTACAAATTTTCACAAATGAAAATCAATGATTCATTGTTATTCAAATATTTCAAATGAAAGTATATCATTTTAAGCGTCATTTAATTATACTTTTTAAACATTTTATTTTAATATCAATCACAGAAAGAAAAATAAATTATACTTTATGGATTACGGATGCTCAGCACGAACTTGTTTTAAATATTATCTGCTCGAATAAGAAATGCAATGAATAAATACCTTCCGCGCTTAAATTTGTCTGAGAAGGTGAAAACACGTCTACTGACAATCGAAATTTGTGACTTACTGAATCTTTTCAAAATTTCTTGTTCAACGTAAATGATGAGCGCCAATGGATGTAATAAAATACAGAGAAATAATATACACGAAACACCAATGAATCTCAACATCCAAAACATGAGCGACAAAAGTAAGAAAAAAAAGAGCAAGAGGCGAATATCAACAACTCGAAGCGGATCAAATCACACATTGGCGTAAATATCGTAGACAGCGAAAGAGTAATCATCATCATGTGTTTGTTTTCTTTCACTTCGTAGTTATTTCCTTACCATATGCTTACAGATCATCGCTTTTGCAAGTCGTTTTCGCTGCTTTTGAACTGTCGATGAGAATGTGAGTGTAATGGAAATTCAACTGAAATACCATCCCAACTCGTAAATATATTGTAATTTTCGCCAATAACACTGTTCGTAAGTAAGTGTTCCACACTGATCAAATGCCGTGCATCAAAACGGAAAAATGTGAACAAGAAAAGTGAGAAATTGCACTTTTTCGACGTGCGACATTGATGTAGTTGTACCAACGTTTCGCTTTCTATGCGATATATTCAAATGATTAATTATTTTATGTATTGAAAATTACACATCACCGTAAACGTTACACCACAAGAATAGTAATAAGCAATGATAAAATTACTTTTAAATAAAGAAATTTCAATTTTTGTCATCATCGCTTACTATTCATTATAAAGAAGGTAACCTTTACAAGTAAATGCTCATGAATTCAATTCACGACATTCACCGAAACGGGTTTTCATCACTCTCAAATTTACTCATCAATTGATTAGTTCATCCATCGCCAGTGACAACAGTATTGAAACATAGCCACTCTGTTGCAATAGTAATTAGTATTTAAATGCTGTCATCGGCTTCGGAAACAACAATAAATAAGCAACCATTTTAATTAAAAATTGTCAGGGTATACCGTCAGATTTTTTGCGATGGATTTATCAGAAAAGTGTTGAGACATTGGTACCGATGAATTTCGACTCCCACTTAGTAGTACTCCCCGTAGTTTTGATGTCGAAAATCATTGTTTCACGCTAGTGACCAATTCAAAAATATTTTTAAAATCGAAGGGGAAAAATTTCATTGAAGTTCGACTTTTGATGAGAAAATCGAAAAATTGCGATTTCTGTCAGACACGTCGTGTCACTAAAATATGACACCATTTATTTGGATCTTAAGGTTCGCTTTGCTAAATTTCATTCAACTTCGACTTTTAGTGTTTTTAGAAATCACAAATTAATCACTAAAATACTGCATCATTAGTTTTTTGAAATTTTCTTTTATTTCGAACTTTTCAAAATTTTATTTATAGACTTTTTGATGAATAGGCTTTTTCAAATTTAGGGCTTACACTCTCCAGCAAGTCACTTTTGAGTATCTTATTGAAACCTATACCATTTTTTGTGCATAATTTGTGCGAATTTGTGCATGCATTTTTAGAATTTGTGCATAAATGGCTGATGAGTTATTCAGCTTTATATTTTGTGGTGAATTTCGGTTTTGGATGCAATTCAACATTTTTCTATGGCCAAAAAATCGGAAAAATTTTTGTGCCATTTTTTGTGCATAATTTGTGCATGCCAAATATGCCTTCGGATCGGTCGTACACTGCAAAAAATGCATCAAAATCGATTTGACGTCAATTTTCCCACACAAATTCACCACTTTTTTTTAAATAATTGGAAAAATAAAAAAATTTCTTTACCATTTTTTTGTGCATAATTTGTGCATAACAAATCCACATCGCACCGAATTTGTGCATGCAGGGGTAGCTCAGTAGTCGACTTGAGCAATATTCACCAAAATCACTCAATGAGTGAAAATCGATTCGGATTAAATTTCTTGAAATTTCTCAGTGGTAATATTTTGTGCAAAATTTGTGCATAACAAATTCATATCGCACCGAATTTGTACATGCAGGGGTAGCTCAGTAGTCGACTTGAGCAATATTCACCAAAATCACTCAATGAGCGAAAATCGATTTGGATTAAATTTCTTGAAATCTCTCAGTGGTAATATTTTGTGCATCATTTGTGCATAACAAATTCACATCGCACCGAATTTGTGGATGCAGGGGTAGTCCACTTCACTAATTTCCTCCAAAATCACACAATGAGCGAAAATCGATTCGAATTAAATTTCTTGAAATTTCTCAGTGCTAATATTTTGTGCATAATTCGTGCATAACAAATTCATATCGCACCGAATTTGTACATGCAGGGGTAACTCAGTGGTCCACTTCACTAATATTCTCCAAAATCACTCAATGAGCGAAAATCGATTTGGATTAAATTTCTTGAAATTTCTCAGTGCTAATATTTTGTGCATAACAAATTCATATCGCACCGAATTTGTGCATGCAGGGGTTGCTCAGTAGTCCACTTCACTAATATTCTCCAAAATCACACAATGAGCGAAAATTGATTCGGATTAAAGAAGCCATAAGAAAACCATAGATTTATTGCCTAAAACGATAAAAAATAAAATTCACATATAGTTGGCGCTGCATTCTATGCAAACTTGTTTTCCGTTGCAACGGACTAAGTGGAAAATATACGCTTATTACATAGAATGTAGCGTCAACTACACA